AAACTTGAAGTTATGTTTCGACATGCATTTTACTTGGAAAAAAATCAAGTTTGTAAAATTTCTCCAAATCATTTTTTGAGACCTTAAAGATTAGCTTTAAATTTGGCTGTATGAGTTTATGTTACTTGACATGAAATTTGAATATTGGTCTAACTAAAAGAATGATAGACATAATATTATTTTTTTGGTTGATTTCTCATCCAATGTGTAATATCCATTTTTGAAGCTTTAATTAAGTTGGAATTACTCGCATAAGATCAATTAAAGGAGAACTGTTATTTAATAGAATTTGTTCTATTTCTACTGTTGAATTCAAGATCTTTGATTAAGAAAGGAGCGATTCTATTCATCTCACTATAATCCTTGATATGACAGATGCAAATCACAACAATATTAAAGGTGCATACACAAATTGGTGATGCTAGCAAGTAGCAAGATCAATAAATATACATGATGTGTTTGTTCTTAGATTATCTCATCATATCATCATATATCAGTCAAAAGTTGAATTACAAAAATATTCTTTAAGTATTAATTTATTTTCTTGAAATTATTTAAAATATTAATTTTTCATTTAATATTTATTTTGGGATTCAATGAATTTTGACTGTTCGTATTATAGTAATTAATACTCCTATTTCCAAGACTTACAATTCAATACACATTATTAAATTGCAAGTTATTATTAGCAAGAAAAAACCAACAATCTTTACATCTTTCACATAGTAATAGTGATCATAATCATAGTTACTACTCCCTCCGTTCCATTTTATATGTCATCCCTTTTCTAAAAATAGCTGGACCACAATATATGTCATTTTATAAAATTTATGCATAAATTACCATATTTTGCCCATTATACCCTTGATAGATTAATTAATTAATCTTGAAAATGTATTTACTTTGACTAACCTAGGAAATCTACAAGTAGTTAATTTCATTGAGAGAGTACTTCATTCATTAATTAACTACTTATTCTATAAAATCTGATTTTGAAAAAAAATATCAACAAACAAATTAAAAATAAAAGATGAAAAAAAATTCAAAAATAATCTTGAAAGTTGAAGCTTCAACAAATTTTATCAAGGAAGATGACATTTCAAAAAGTTCAAAGAAATTTTCATGTTTGCTTTAAGAATTTATATATAAAAATATAAAAAAAAAACATTTTACACAAAATACATAAGAAAATTGAGGTGGGAAAAACTTGATTTTTAAATTTTTTTGGATCAATTGGTGAAAAAATTTGACTTCAAAAATAAACTCTAAAATTTAAATAGTCATCCAAATGCATTTATATTTTTGAAATCTAACATATTCATCATTTATTATAAAGTTGTCTTAAGAAAACATTAAATAAGGGTATAAGGGTAAAATTACCTCATTTCTTAATGCAAGTGCAAATGAAAAAGGTGATATGTAAAATGAGACGGAGGAAGTATAATTTTTTTAATAATTAGTCATAATGATTTTCCATTACACATTTAATATATTTGAATTCTTTTACATATTTTATCCTTAGATTACAGTTTTATTTCTACATTACATTTAAATGTTATAAATTGTTTAATAACTTAAATATTAAATAGTAAATCATCATATTAATATACATAAATTACCACTAACTCATCATTATGTAAACGTATGTAACACCCACTAATTATATTCATTATATTTTTTACTCTCATCTCTCATCGATAATCTCAAATGGATTAATATCATATTTATGACAGCTCTTTGTGTTTCTCAATGTTATCATATAAATAGTGACATTTGACACAATAATATTGTACCCACTTAAATCAATTGAAAAAAAAGAAGAAGAGAAAATCTCTATGCTCTCTTCTCTCGTCTCTTTTTATTTGTTTAGTTTAACCTTTATGTTTCTTGTTTGTTGTTATTGTACAATTTTCTTTTGTTGTGTTGTTATTATTATTGAGAATTTGCCATGATTTGTTGCTTTGTATACATTAGCCTATCATGTGGTATTTTAGTATCCTCATTTGAATATTGAATTTGTCCAATAGTTATTTATTTTTACTTTAAGCACTTTTAGTCAATTTTACAATTAAAAGTATATTTTTTAAATTAGGAAGATATCCTATCGAAACAATGATGAATTTTGCAATAAAAAATTTATATGGAGTATTTTGAGATAAACGTGCAACGCACGTTTCCAGATCTAGTTCAATTATAAGTATGCGTGTAAGTATTTAGCCGTTAATTTTGAGAGATCTTGAAGATGTCTTTCATTTTATTTTATAAAAATGTAGTAAGTGTAATCGGACAATATGTTATTAAAGTTATGTTTGGTTATGAATTTTATTTGTAAAAAATAACAATTTTGTGAATAGACATTATTAGTGTTTTGCTTGAAATAGACATCAAACAACTTTTTTTTTTAAAAAGGATATTGTAATTATAAAAACCATTTTCAGTTTTTGTTTATTTTGACTTGCATCATTTATTTATTTCTTCTTTCGATTCATTATAACAAAAACTCCGTGACTTTGGCGCGAAGATCTCCGAGTACCCACTTTTGTCACCACGAGATCTAATTAGCAAAAATTTAGGCATGTGCTAATTAATTAAGAATTTTTGCAATATACCATGAAAACTAAATTTGCATTAAATTAAATTATATAAAATTACAACCAATCAAGAAACAAGCTATTTTTTTTTCAACAAACGATTTTCTAAGTACACTTAAATTTAAGCACTACATATGAACCGTTCCTCCTTTAACTAGACGTTGATTTTGAGTCCTAAATACAAAATATCCTTGGAAAAAATCGCTTTCCTCGAATGGACCCTATAATGGGTCCTATGCAACACGAGTTTAATTTAATTGAACTTCAACATGAATATCGAATACCAAATAAAAAAAAAGACGCTACATATGCTAAATATTGTATTTCTTTGAGACCAAAATTAGTTAGACAGACAATTGGATTTCACTTTAAACGTGCATACACAAATTGGTGTTGCTAGCCAGATGAGATTTTATATGCATATATATATATATGTTTATATCGCAATTAGGTTATCTTATTTAATTATAAGACCCCTGAACTACAGGAAAATGTTTAAAAATATCCTTCATCCATTTTTTGGTATAAAAATATTTTTTTACTCATCTTTTTTATCTAAAAATACCCTTCCATTCCTTATAGTTCAGGGGTATTTTTTACCCTTCTTCGAAATTTATATAATTTTACGTAAATCAAGTGCAATAATTATTCATTGTAAAATGTAGTTGATTTTATAGATCCGCGGTAAAACAAAAAAGAGAAAGTGGTAAAAACTAATCTAAAGCACAAGTAGCGGTTACTCTTTAGCTAATCACAACTGCACTACTCTTAATTACTTAATTTACTATTTACTATTTGATTATTTTTATTTTTATTTAGTTCATTGTAACAAAAGCTCCGTAACTTTGGCGCCAAGATCTCCATTTTCTGTTTAATATTATTGCAAGTTTAAGTTTGCTCTTATATTTACGCATATGCTAATTGATTTAGTCAACCTTTCATAAATAATCTAACTATTGTTGTAGTTTTTGCACGGATAACTTTATTTGGGGTGATTTTTAATTTTGCCCTAAAATATGATGATATTTAATTTTTGTTCATACGGGTAAAAATATCTTTATATGTGATCTAATTTCACTTGACATAAATTTAGATTTTTTTTTGCTTATATGACGTAAATTCTTATATTAAGTTATCCAACACAAGTTGTGTAGTATATAATTCGCTTAGTATAAATTTCAGAGAAATATTATGATACGAAAATATAAATTTATACTGAACCGAAATTGTTTGTTATTTTAGTGTTGAGGACTAAAACTAACGACTATCTGAAGGTAAAATTAAAGAATAGCCCGGTCATTTGTGCTAATGACCCATTCTTCGCCACTGTCCTAATTTTAAGCCCACATATGGAGAAATGGGGCCTTATATTTAAAGTTTTATGTTGCTAAAAATGTTGGAAAAACATGAAAATTCGTATGGAGAAATTTTTAAAAATAATTTCATTAGATTATTGCGTAAACAACTTAAAGAAGAAAAAAAGGAGACCATTTGGCGAGTTGTAGAAATACATTAAAAAAGTTTCTTTTTGGAAAACACAAACCTAATAAAAATTTATTACGAGATACCAAAAATTATATATTTAGCACATTGCAATTTTTGTTGACCTCAAAAAGCTTGTGATCGTACATTTTCAGAGATTTACTTATTTCTTTTTCAAGCTACAATTTAGAAAGTAGTTTTTTTCGTACCTTAACTCTTAAGCGTTAAACAATGAAAATAATTATTTAAAAAAAAAAAAAAAAACTTACTCTCGTAATTGCTTTTTTCAACAAACTTATGATTGCAAAGCATAGATAATTTTTTTTGTGTGTGTAGACTTTTATCATTTTCAATTATAGTAATAATTTCGAACTTAAAAACTACATTATTTAATTAGGTATTAATACGAATAAATACTTACTTTGTATCATAAAGCCACTAGTTAAAAGGGATTATAAAAGACAAATTGGATAATTCTTTCCTATAAATGATAAAACAGTATAAGAAAAAAAGAAAGTAAAAACAATTACAGTAAAAAAAAAGAGAGTAAAGAACGGTTAATAAAGTGAAATCGGTTAATATCCCTATAACTTCTCCATTACTCTTCTAAAAAGTAACTGTCATTGAGACCCCCCCACCCCCAACCCACCGACCCCTTCGCCGTCATCATATATTAATCTTACTACTGTTAACACTAATTACTTAGTTTGTCAGCCACAGAGAAAAACAAGACTTGTTTGTTAGGTCTACTTTTGTTGAACAAGTGAGGAAAAACAGCAAGATTCACCAAGACATATAATATCTCAATTAAGGTAATTATCCTTAAACTAATTTTATCTTTCTTACATTAACCACTTCATGTTTAAGCTACTATTTGTTACTAAAGCTCATTTTGTATTTTGGTTGTGTTATTGGATCCATTCAAGAATGGCTAGTGTTAGCTACTACTCTACTTCTAAATTGGAACCAAATGTTGAAGAAGAATTCAACTCAGAAGAAATGATGACTATGCAGCACCTTCTATTTGATTTCAACTACGATGTTGAACAGAGCCTTTCAGATGAAAATCAAGATCAAGATTGTTATTTCGATCCAGACGAGTTTATTTTACCTGTTGAAATGAATAAGAATTCAGAGTACTCTGTTTTCGAGAAACAACAAAAGGTCTTTCAAGATAACATAATAACTCATAATTCTTGTTTCATTCCAGACTACTCTGTTTTTGAGAGCACCCCAAAACGTCAAAAGTTTTTTCAACAAGACTTCCTTCCAAATAGTACTCACAATTCATGTTTCATGCCAGAGTACTCTGTTTTTGAGAAACAACAAAAGGTCAACTGTCAAGGTTTGTTCAATGAGGGGTTTGTGCCAAATCCTCCAATGTTTGAGGATTTTGCCTCGTATTTGCTTCCAGAAATTCCTATGCCTGTTTTTAGCAGCAATAATGCTGGAGTTGTCACGAAGAAAGGCGGTAGTAATAATAATAATAATGAGAAGAAGAAGATGTCAGCACAGAGTATCGCGGCGAGGCAGAGGAGGAAGAAGATTAGTGATAAGACACAAGAATTGGGTAAATTGATACCTGGTGGACACAGAATGAACACTGCTGAAATGCTTCAAGCTACTTTCAACTATATTAAGTTGTTGCAAGCACAAGCTGGACTTCTTGCATTCATGGGATCATATCAGGTAATTAAATTATACTATGACATTCTAAATTTATCCTATACTTTATTTTTATTGTTTGGGTTATCACCTTTATTTCCATTCGTAACACTAGTAGTCGCAATCATAATTCATAATTTTTTTTTAATCGAATATTTAGCTGAAAATTTTGTATACTCTAATAGCTATTAACGTATTTGTATTTGAATTTAATTTGCAGGAATCATTTGAAACATCAAATTTGCAGAAACTTGTTGGATCTTCCTTGATTCAAGAAAAGTTGTATTCAAGTGAACATTGCTTGGTTCCAAAAGTGTTCCTTGAAGCACTAGAAAATAATCAAGAATTCCAAAATTCACAAGTCCTTGAGGAAATCAAAACTTTGATCAAATGATTAATTTTCAGCCAAAGAATTAGTTTAGTTCAGTTCAATTACCTGTTGTTTGTTGTCTTAGGCTAGCCATGATTTCATTATATATTTTTTGAAGTTGTAAGTTTTTATTTTTTTCTTAGTTACGATTTTAATAACTGTAATTTTCACTGTAAATTCCTCATTTACAAGGAATTTAATTCCATGTGAAGTTGATATTTACTTTCCAATTATTAGCTCAGCTTGCATTAATCTTAATTTATATTGCCAATAAGTTTTATTTCTCTTCTCCTACTCTTCCTCATTTCACTACAATCATAAATCTCAACTGAAAACCATAGTCACAAAATAATTAAAGACATAATGTCTTTGTTTCCATAAATCTGTGAAAACGTGGGTGTAATATATTTATTTCCATTCTTTTCATTTCCTTTGAATTAATTAATGAACTCCATAAGAAAAGAAAGCTTTTTTATTTTATTTAATAATATGCCCCCTCTTTTGTTTCCATTATTTCTTTTTCTGTAATTAATTACCCCTCCGTAAGTTTTGTAACTGCAACTTATAAATAAAAAAGAAAGGGAAAAGAACACTGGTATAAGCGGCTACTCTTTACTTAATACTTGATAGTTAATAGCGTTATATCTATATATATATA